GTCCACCGGGAGACTCCCATGTCCATCGTTTAGATTCTGCCTTCTGGAAATTCGTAATCAATTTCCCTTAATGTCACTGCTCAACTTATTTATAAACAATCTGAGCAGAAGTGTTAAACTTGAATTTTTCTATGAGAAGTTGCATTAATATTTCTCTCTCCCTGTGAACTTCAGCTTGGGGGAAAGAAATATTAGGTGGAAAGAAAATTTAAAAGGACAAATATCTGTGCTTTTGCTCAATGTTGACTATAAAAAGCATTGCAGATGCATGGGAGACCATATTGGTTGGAATATTTTCAGGGTTTCTGGTATGTAATGACACCAGTAGTTTATACCTCAAGGAATTCCAAAAGGAACAGGTACTTAAGACCATTTTGAAATGGCTTGTTTTAAGGTGCAATTATGACAAAAACATGATAGCCATAATCGTACTTCACGGGTCTTCATTCTCAGATACTTCAACTTAGAGAGTCTAATTCTTCCCATAGGACTGCTACATTTGTCTTTTCTATTTTCCTTTCCTCTGCCTTGATACACTATCCTTAGCTATGATCCACTAATCAATGTCTGCACTCATAACGCGTTTAGTAATTTATCCAAATCTCCAGATTAGCTATTATGGTTATACCCAAGTATTCATTTCATTGTTTCCTAAATTGTATGGAAAGCAGACATATAATTTAGAAAGATGGCTCTCTATCTCAGTGAATGGTCCTGAAGCTTTGCAATCTTTCCCTTCTAATGGAAGACAGCTTGGTGACAAAGAGTGCAGAATGTGTTTGGGGGGAATCTGAATTCTACTTAAAGTTCTGCTTTCTACTCTCTCTGATCTTCATGTTTTTCCACTCTACAGGAGAGATAATAACAGTACCCACTTTACACACATGTTCAGGAGAGCTAAATGAGACACTCTGCTATTAATCGTACACATCGTAGGCATTCGAAGTATGCCAAGGCATTGGGTATAGTAGAACTCTGCACAAAGCAGAAGAGTCGTCATTGTGTTAGTGGTACTAAGTTTGCATGAAGAGTGAGTCCTTGCATTTAGAAATCAAACAAGAACCTCAGAGAGTAATACAGCATGAATTTTCAAATGAAAGTGTACATCTGGGTGGGAAAGAAAAAGCTTGGGTACTTCAGTAGTGACATAATTGACTTGTATGTCCCATGGTCTAAGTAATGATGAGTTACAGAAAACACAAGTGCCTGGGTCTTTTAAACAATTATTTTAACCTCTAATAATCTCACGAGATCATCACAAAGTCCTAATCTAAATCACAGAAACAGAAGCATCAAGTACAGCCCTCTAAATTTACCAATGGGTAATTCAAAGTTCAATAAGATAAAACAACTTCCTTAAAAGTCCTAAACTGATTTTTGCAGACGGGTTGGTGAAATAAAAATCTCATGATGTCTAGGGCAGCATATTTTACCTATTAACCAGGGAACCACCTAGCTTAGACTATAATACCATCATGAAAGTGTTTACTATCTCATGATCTGCAAGTCAACTTTATACACATAAACAAATCAGCTTAAGTTTCTACTGTTAGGAAGGCAAACACAGGACCGCATATTTCTTTCCATTAATGAGGACAAAGAAGTAAATATTATTTTGCTTAAAATTCCCAAGCCATTGGATCTATTGCCAAACCATTGAATCCATCTCCAAAGCACTAAAATGGAGTATACTTACACAAGGACATCAGTCTACACATAAAACAGAATGTATTATTAACTGAGTATAGGAAGAACTGGGGAGGTTGGGATGTTGATTAACAAAGATGGTGTGAACTAGACCAAAACTAGAAGGTGCTCTCACCGCCTAAAATTTACCATTTTAACTGTTAAAATTTTCACAAGATCTGAAACACCAAGACCTACGTTTCAACCCTCTTCCACTTATTATGTGACTGGAACCAGTTACTTAAACTCTCAGGCCTCCAGATTCTGCTTCTATAAACAGGAGATAATAACAGCTGACTCAGAGAATTGTTTCCCTAAGGCATTAGAAAGAAATTTTGACAAAATCCAGCATAGTTTCTGGCCTTTGGTGTTTGGCATTGCTTCTTTCAATCCAGGTACATCTCAAAACACTCCTTTTCTGGGAATGCACTAATTATCTGTTTTGTCGTGGAACTTTCCTAATTGAGCTTTTGTTTTATTTTGTTTTAATGATTTTTCCAAATTAAAGAGAGAAAGGAAGAAAGCACGCAAGGAACTGGTTTCGATTACAGGGTCACTTACAGAACTGCTGAAACTGTAGATATGACCAATTTTAAGCTGTCACAGCCTAACTCGGAATATTTTCTTTGTCTTGGGATGGAGCCAGAACTGGAAACCTCTGTTCTGCTGTTTTGTGAGTCAGGTCGACCACAGCAGCCACTTTGACAGCTCTGAAGACTTGGCCTATGCTTGGGAACTTCCCTTCCCTGACCTTCCAGAGGTCCTTCCCAAGACTGCTTAGTATACTCTCAGTGCAGAACTGAAATTCCCTCTATGTATAATTCGAGAGTTCCAACCAAGGTGCTCATCAGCACATTTATGATACTACTGATGCAAACTGTAGTGACACCTATTAGTAATGGGTGGAGTTGATATGTTTCTGGTCCTATGCAGTACAGAGCTTTATTGAATTTTGCAATAAATTGCTGTAGATTGTTCCATAGGTGGTAACTAATTCACCTTACAAAAATACAACATGAAATTCTTTACACTGAAGGAAATAAATTCCAGATTTGAAAATGTGCATGTGTTTACTTACACACACACACACACACACACACACACACACACACACACATGCCACCACCACCAACAACAACAACAATACCACCACCACATATCAGCCATGTAATTTTAAAAGGCAGAATTTATTTCTCCTTTAATTTTTCTCTTAACTAATATAAAAATCTACTATACAAACTTTAATGAATTATTTTGTTACAACTGTGAATTCATTGCTCGAGCAGGTCCAGTAACGTCTCCATTGTGAGATTTGTTATTACTGTGTTTTGGCATATCCAAAATGTAGCGGGTAGCTCACCAGGCTTTGCTGTGCAGGCGAGATACTCTCGGTAGCTTGCCGGACTCTTCGAAAGGGGCTGGAGTGATAGCACAGAGGGTAGGGCATTTGTCTTGCATGCGGCTGGCCCTGCCGAGCCGGGTACGAGTCCTCCGCCCCTCTCGGAGAACCTGGCAAGCTACCGAGAGTATCTTGCCCTCATGGCAAAGTCTGGCAAGCTACCTGTGACGTATTCGATACACCAAACATAGTAACAAGTCTCTCAATGGAGACGTTACTGGGCCCACTTGAGCAAATCGATGAGCAATGGGAGGACAGTGCTACAGTGCTATTTTGTGTTAAGTCTGGAACATATAGATATGTAAAGTATTTGACAATGTCACGAAGTGAAAATGAGTGAAAATGCACTGGTGTAAATAAATAGCAACACCAGAGATCAACTGCCATTGACAGAAATAAAAAGAATCAGAAATGACAAATAAGAAGGTTAATATAACAACTCCATAGATATTTGTCTCATTGCTTCTCACAACTTTGTTCATAAACATGAAACTGTACCAATCAATGATTGTAACAATGAATTTCTAGATTTTCATTTATGCAGTTGTATGTATAAGAACATTGGCACAAAGTGAGAAGAGAGAAAATAGGAAAGTCCGTCTTTTCTGAAGGAGAAAGATGTACTTTTAAGACACAAATGCAAGGAAAGTAAAATTTAAAGCAAGCAAGCAGCAACCATACAGTCAGTATCTATAATGTAAATTTCCACCTTATGACATTAGTGGAGACTGAAAGAAACAAACTAATCCCAAACCAAGCAGAAATAAAAATTAATAGGTAATAGGGCATAAATTAATGAAATGGAAAATATAAAAACAATAAAGAAATCAATGAAATAAAACACAAGATTTATTAATTTCTCCCCCCTCTGCACATACATGTAACCTTACCAATCAAGAAGATGATCCATTTCTCTTCCCTTTAAATCTGCAGCATTGCAACTTACATTAGTCAATCAAGTATGTCAGAAATCACCACTAAAGAGTTCCCCATGCTTTCCTGCCATGGGCAAGCACTGAGGATTATAGGGTACGAGGTGAAAAACAGATTTCCTAACTATCCCCCAGCACTGAGATCTTAGATGTGTGGGACAGGATTTTTAGTAACTTAGAGTTTAGCTGCCAGTTGAATGTGATTTCATAAGATTTCCCAACTGGGAACCATGCAGGGCAGAAAAAAACAACTAGTCAACCAACAAACTTATAAGAAAGAATATGTCTGTATTAAGATACAAAGCAATAGGCAATAGTAAAAATGTTTAGGTTAAAACAAAATAGAGGAATACAAGTATGGATAAGTGTTTGCTGAATCTCAGTCTCACTCTTCTCTAATGCTGAAGGCACCTTATCTTCCAGTCCAGTGATCTTCCCACTCCCCTTGATAAAACTGATCAAAGATTCTCTGGCTAAGACACCCAGAAACCTGCCTGGTTGACTTTTTTTCTTTTTTTTTTCAGGTAACATATATTTTATTTTTTTAGAATTACAGATAAAAATAAATAGCCAAGAATTTACACTCTCATGCTTATTTCTATATTTCTGACTCATTTCACTGCTAATTACCTTCACATTTCTAAAGAAGTTTCCATTCCAATGCCATGTTATCTGGTATGAAGTCACAACTCAAGGTGTAAATTTTCTAATTTGTTTAACATAATAGCACAATTCTTCCATGTGAACTAGAAAACTGAAAATACATGTGTGATCAATCATTCACAAAGTCAGATGCTGCAGCTAATTAAAGCTTCTAAAGATGATTAACATTTGCAATTTCTGAAGGTAGTATAGATCGGTTTCTAAGCTATCACAGAGATTATGAAGTCACGGTGCTCTCAGCTGTGTTCAAACACTTACTACTCTGCAGCCCCGGCCCAGGCGACCTCCTCCGCTCATCGTCAGCCTGTGTGGGGAAGCATCTAAAATCTATTAGTGGCCCTGAGCCAAAACTCCATTACATACCCCTCATTGGTTTCTGCATGGGCCCTGAGGCCCCACAGAAACACATAATGGGGAGGGTCACTGCCAGGCACCTGGCAGTACTCCAGATACTGCTCCTGCACCCACACATTGGTGAGGAGATCCCCGGGCTCCCCATAGATGAAGTGCTCAATCCCAACACACACCCCCATCATACTCAGTGCTCTCCAGATTTCATCCTCAGACACACAGTTGCCTTCCCGAACAATGATGCCCAACACAGTGATCAGCAGACCAGTCTTGGGCAGTCTATAGTCAGGCCCTACAATCCCGTCATGGCTGAGGCCCAGGTTGGTGGCTAGGGCATAGGCGGGAATTCGAGGTTCTACTTTGATTATCACAATACCAAAGACCAGCTGCATGCACTCACATGCCTTACTGAAAACCATAGGAAAGAATGCCTGGTCGTTATTCAGGGCAATGTTCACCATTTCTGCCTTAGTGGTGAGCTGCTTAGAGTGGCACTTGAGGAGCAGGAACACCACCATGTCAGCCGTCTTCTCATAAAACTCTTCTTGGAAAAACGGGTTGAGTTGTTCTGGCTCCTCCCACATGTATGGCACCACCTGGCCACTCGCATTCTCCTCCAGTTGGCTCAGTGGAGTGTTATTCATGGTCCAGAGTTTCTGTCTGGGCCTCCTTTGCTCTGGTACGTGAGCATTTGTGCCTGACAGAGGGCGTCTCTTCATTCCTGGGCCCCAAGGAAATGGAAGCTCGCATAGGGGAGTCTTCTCTTTCTGCGTGTTCCTGGAATGACCAATGCCATGGGCGGACGAAGGAGGAAAAAAAGGCCAGGATGGTTTGTGATCCCATTTATTCCATTTTCCCCACACGGCTGTTCTAGTCTCGTTAAGTTCCCCATTCGAGTCTCACACTGTCTCCCTCGCTGATCTCTTCAAGATCCGACTCCTGCTTGGCTTTCCTAATGATCTCTCAGAGATTTGTGAATCTAACTGCCAAAAATGTTAATAAACAAACATCATAAGCACCATTTCAATTTTTATGTGTAGTGAGACTCAGGGTCTCATACAAGCAAGGTAAGTACTCAACCACTGGAACTACATCCCCAGAGTAAATACCCTTTCTTGAATCATGGTTTGAGTTATAAATACTGTGATTTTACAGAACAGGCACAGAATGAGCAAGGGAGTTGCCCAAATCACACAAAATTACTAGCGAATTTCAATCATTGACAGGCCTCCTGCATTTAGTCCTTAACACCACGGTTTCTCTGGAAATTACTACCTGGGATGCTCACTTTTACGGCTTTCTCAGGACTGTGGGCCAGAGTGTAACAGTTATGAAACTGATTTCAGAGTTACAGTCTTTTACTCTGCAGACCTTCAACATTCTCTGCATTGATTTGATTTTCCAGTGCAGCAGTAATACCTGGGGTGATCAGTTGCATTGGTCTAATTGATTCATCAGAGAGAAGGCATATTATATTCTTATCTAAAAATATACATGCCCCCCAGATATGGATTTGCTTTCCCAGTACTCAATGTTTCTGCCAAATACAATGACCTCTAGATTTAGGAAATGCCTTAGCCATGTTCACACTGGTTGACAGTCCATCACTTCTGATCAAGAAACTCACTTCACAACAAATACAGGGTGACTTATGGACCCAGGCTTACTGACTTTGCCACATTTCCAGATGCAGTTTGCTCAAATGAATAGTGGAACAGACTTTTAAAGATTCCAGTGTAGTAGTAATTAATTGAAACTGACTTTTAGGGTTAGAGCAAAGTTCTCTAAGAAGCTAATAACACTTTGAATTGACATTCAGCATATGGTGCTGTGTCTCCTATAGCTAAGATAGTTATGATTGATGGGTCCAAATATCAAAAGGTGATCACAAACAAATATCCCTAGTAATCCAGTAGCAAAACGTTTGCATCCTGTTCATGCAATTTTATTCTCTGTGGTTCTTAAGATCAGTCACAACAAGGATTCCAATGGACAGAATGTTAAGACTGCTACAAGGCTTGGGGCTCCTCCTGTCTTTGAATCAATAGGCAAAGAACGTTACTGTGCTGATTGATGCCAACTGCCAAAGGGAAATCTAGACTGCTGCTTTATGATGGAGATAAAGAACTTCCTTGAATACAGAATATCCCTGAGGATATATCTCAGCACATTTTAATTTTGTGATTAAAGTCAATGAAAACATTTCATTTCAGTCTGGATAACTGATGGCCCAGAACCTTCAGCAATGAAAGTCAGGATCACCTCACCAGGGAGAGAACCACATCCTGCTACGACACTTGCTGAGGACAAAGGGAATACATAATGAGCAGTGGAGAAAGGTAGTTATAAAGAACAGCTCTGCTCATGCAACCAGTTATAGGCACAAGAAACCTTATTATCATATTTTCTAATTTCATGATAAATTTATACATCGAGCAAACATTTTCTTATCTTTCTTATTCGCATGCCATATATTATATGCATTAATGTTCTATGATAGCATTTGAATTTGTTAAGTTTAAATTTAATATCATATTGTTTGACTTATAGGAAGACAAAGATAAAAGAAACATTGTCCAAGGACTTTGATCCTCCTTAAAGTATAGTACTGCGTGGTTGTAAGCAGGGCATCTGTATAATGTTAAACAGAGTATAACCTTGTCATTATCTTTATTTGGAAATTAACTATGATTCCAGAGTGAATATAGGTGCTGTGTTTTGCACTGTGATGGTTACTTTTATGTGTCAGTTTAGCCAGGCAGTGGTGTCTAGGGTTTCAGTTGAACATTACTCTAAATTTTGTTGTGAGAACATTTTTACGTGTAATTAATCAGAAGATAATGTAAAGCTGATTTCTTTCCATGATGAGATAAAACCTCATCCAATTAACTTCAGGCCGTAAGAGAAAAAGACTTTGAGCCTTAAATAAAAGGAATTATGCCAGCATACTGCCTCTGGACGCAAACTGCATCATCAACTTTTCCCAGAATGTTTGGTTTGCCCTATTGCCCAGCATATTTTGGATATGCCAACCTCTAAAACTATAAGCTTGCTCTTCAAAATCAATCAATATTTGTCTACCTATCTCTTTATTTTCTCCCTACCTCCCTCATCCCTAAACAAATAGTAACATTCCTGTTGGTTCTGTTTCTCTGAAGAACTCTAAATAATAGAAACAAACACTCCATACGTATCCTGTATTATTATAATGTTCTTCTTTATTTTAGGGGTATTTACATAGAAATCAATTTCTAAAACAATTATATTCACGAATTCTTGCTGTGGAACTCTTCAGATCTCATTATAGGTATTAAACTCTTTTTATCAAAGTATAAGATCTTGAGGGCAGAGAGAAAACAATTCCCAAATTGTTTAAATTCCCAAAACAAGAGCAGTTTGTCAATAGATATTTTCTAAGTGAAGAAATTAATAGAGGAATGAAAAGTACTGCCTTATACTGGACACCAAATTCCATTTACTCTTAGCTCATGTCATACTGATCAAGTCTGTGAGTGTAACAAGCGCCTAAGCTTTGGTTATACCAAAAGATAGAAAAATCAAAAGCACTGATTATTTCAACAATGAATTACTATCTGATACTTACTGCTTTATCATACTTTAACTAATACCTGCTTTCCAAAACTTCCCAAAAGATTTTAATTATACTATGAAAAAATGTATTCTGGTTTCTAAAGCCTGCTGCTACTGTATAAGTTATCTTCAAACTGAAGCACTTACGAATTCTTGAAAAACCATGAACAACTCCAATACTTTACAGTATCTCAAAACCAAATATCCAGAGACAAGTCATGAGCCTCACCCCATAATTCCTTTTTAATGAGATGGTGTGTAATCTGTGTAGTGAGCACTTAACTTACAACTTGGGTATCACCTATTCTTAGTAGCTTGTCCTGACTTCCAATTTTAGCACATTTGATGAACTGGTACAAAACAGAAGACAAGAGGTTTATCCTAAACTATCATCATATACTTCCCGGGGTTAATGAGTGTCAATTGATGGAATTTCAGCAGAAATTAAGTTATCATGGTCATTAATAATAATCATGATAAGTAATTTTTAGATAGTAAGGATATAATCACTCAACACTAAAGTTCCATATATTCTTATTCAGGGTTATAAGCTCCACTTTTAATTGCTTGGGAGCCTAACAGTTCTCTTATCATTTGGAGCCTGAAAATTGGTTTATAATGAAAGTTAGAGTCTCAGAAAGTCAATGCTAAGCAAATCATCTACGTTTCATCTTTTTAGAAAAGACACAGGCAAGCGGAAATATGTCCAAGGTATATATAGTCAAGATGAAAACCATGTGTTTCAAGTAAAATGTATAATACAATATAAATTTTGTATGTGTGCTGCTAGGGATCTGAGTCTAATATATGAAAAAGCAGGTTTTCCACCACTGGGCAACATTCTCAGTTGTAGACTATCAATTTGTTTCTGTTTTTATTTTTTTGGTCACACACCCAGCTATAATCAGGGCTTACTCCTGGCTGTGTGCTCAGTAATCATTCCAAATGGGCCTGGAGGACCATATGTGGTGCCAAATAGTGAATCTGAGACAACTGCATGCAAGGCAGGAGTCCTAACCACTGTACTACCTCACTTGCCCTAGAGTATCAATTTTTATGAACTGAAGAACCACCAAAAATAGAAATATATTATTCTGGAAAAAATACATATTTTTAAAATAAAAAATAAATAGAAAATTCATGTTCTTGATAAATTCAGAAGATTATGCATTAAAAAATTAAAAATATTTTTTGTTATGTAGTTATTTTGAAAAAGCACCAATTATTTCCCTGTTTTGTATGCTAGAAATTTGGTTTTGGTGGCAACAAAATACTAAGTCAATTTCTACAATCCATGAATCTTGACTGTTCTTGGGAATTGCTTTGATTGATAAAAGCAGTAAGGGTGAAAAATGTGCCAGCTACAAAACCTAGACCTCCAGGGGGTTCCATATGCTCTTTTAGGACCTGCACAGACACCATGAAAACAAGCTCCAGATTATCCTTTTTTCTGATAAGGGAGACATATTCCAGGCAACTGATTGTCTCACCTGATAGCCATCCCCACCAGTTTGGCTACTTTGGTCATCCAAGTGCTGTCAGTTCCAGCCAACATACCAGCCAACAACCCACAAACGACTTTAAGTGTGATCTGCTAAGATTAGAACACATCAGCAGAACTACCCAACTCACATTTAGACATGAACAATAATAAACACTTATTTCCAGCCACCAGGTTTGGTTGTGCTTTGTTACACAGCAAAAGTTAACTGATACATGGGAACAGTACTTGATAATCTTTCGTTATAATTTTGTAATGAATATATGTTGCTTTTTAAATCAGAGATGAATTTTTTTTCAATTATCTAACCCTTTAAGGAAACAAAGCCTGAGATCCTAGAGGACCTAAAAGTTCTGTTCAGTTGGTTAGAACTGACTGCAAGCAATCAAGCCAATGCAAGTTTTATACTAATCAGCTAATTTGAGATCCTAAGGGAGGAGTTTCTAGCTTTAGTAATGGTCCAATTTAGGCAACTATGCATTCATTTGTAATTTATTTTTCTCCTTTGTTATGTCTTTTCTTTTGGCTTGGCTTCATTTTCAGGCAGATTCT